CCCCCCCCCCCCCCCCCCCGACCATCGTCTGTGCGTGGCTGCGTGGATGAGTGTCAATGTGTGTGTGTGTGTGTGTGTATGTGTGTGTAAATACCTACCTGTATAGCTCGTTCGTCGGTGCACGTGATTGTGTAAGTGTCTCGTACGCCTTGCTCCGACGCTGACGGACTGATTGATTGCCTCGCCTTGCCCAGGCAAATGTGTTTGATCGCGCGCGCCTTGCAACGGCACGCGCGGCACGGCACGCGGCGGCTGGTTTTTGGCTGGCTGTGTGGTGTGCACTCACTCACTCAACTCACTGCACGTGTGCTGTGACCATGCCATCCATGTCGTGCCTTATCTAAACTTCTTGTTGTGTTGTGGATACCATACCTTCCCCTTTGGCCCTTAGGCATTGGATGCTAGGCAGGATGAATGACAGTGGTGTGTGCAGACAGACAGACAGACAGACACTCTTGGGGCCGGGAGGGAGGGAGGGCGGGGGGAGGGTGGGTGGCCCCGACAGACACACACACATATACGGTCGTTCATACAGAGAGAACACGCGTGCCGCGTTAGTCGATGTCTGCTTTTCTGTATTTTGCTCGATCTCACCGATGCGATTGAGCGAGCGCAGAGTCAGTCAATCTGACGGTCAGATTACTATGGCAGGGTGAACGGATGGGATGTCGCCGTGTGCGTGTGCGTGCGTGACATTCATTGACTGCTTGATGCGGTGCGAGTAAGAAGTGTTTGCATGACCAATTGCAACCATCCAGACGCCGACACGGCGGCCAATCTCTCTCAGCCTCTCCATCCATCCATCGAGCCAGCACACACATCCAGGCAGCCCACACACACATCTCTCTCTCTCCCAAAAACCGCTCTCACACACACATACACCCGATGCGATCTGTACAGTCCCCTTGTCAGTCCCACAAGCGAGCCGTTCCTTGGTTCATGTCAGCAGGACCACACACACGGTGATGTCGTCATGGTACGACCGCCGCTGGCCCAGCTCGATGGCCAGCAGCGCCTCGAGCGGCAACGCCGCACGCTCAGCCGCCTTGCGCAGCACCGCATGAACGATGCTGCGGACAAGCAGACACACACAGAGAGGGACATCAGGTGTTCCCTTAGTGTGTCTGGTTACTTACGCTTTTGCAGCCGTCTCGGGGGAGGGGTCGCTCTTGAGCGACTCGCGGACGATCGACACACCCTGAACACACACACGTACAGTACGCAGCTGAGCTGGGCCGGCCAGAAGACACATATATACACCGACCGCACTCACTTAGATACCTCTTCGTCTGTGAGGAAGTCCCAGACGCCGTCGCTGCCCATGACGATGAACTCGTCCTGGTGGTGGCGAGGGTAGAGGTCCACCTGCGGCTCAGCCGTGATGTACGGGAACGTGTGGGCGTCACGCAGGAAGTCCCTAAGTTACACACCGGCCGACACACACACAGCAGACAGAGGTCATGACTGACTGACTTGTGTGGCGCGTTGTCTGTGCGTTTGGATGGGCCGTTGGGGGACTCACTCAGTGACTCACTTGCCGGTCTCGAGGTCAGCTTTGAACTCGGCGTGTTTGAGGTGGAAGTCGCCGAAGGACCTCGTCGGCTGCAGACGACCCTTGACGTAGCACCGGGAACCAACCTACTCATATCATACACACCCATTGGCACACACACAGATGGATGGATGGATACCCTTCGGTGTCCCCACCGTACCGTTTCCTTGAGCAGGCCCATCATGCAGAGGGGGTACTCCCACAGGTAAGGCCACTGTGGGGCCCGCGGCTGGTCTACCGTCGACTTGCACACCACCTGAACACACACACACACACGCTCACACTTCCTTACTCAATCTTAAATCCGCCATCTGTCTACACACACACAGATACCTACCACGTCTTTCTCATTAGGGTGCAGCTCCCGCAGCCTCTTCTGCTCTGCCGGGCTGTTGGCACTGCAGCAAGCAAGAAGCCAGAGACAGATGACGAGACATGACCAGACGAAACGACGTGAGTGCCCTCAATCGTCCGTACTAACGTGTGTTGGGAGTTGAGGGGAATCGCTCTGCCTTTCCGACACAAAACTGACACACACACGCAGCCAACAAAGAGGCAGACAACACACATGGGGGCGGGGCAGGGCAGCTTGCCGGGTGGCCACCGCACTTAACGAACGTACCAGCTTTGCAGTCGCCGATATTGGCGACAGCAATGCTCTGATAGTCCACCACCACAGACAAAGAACACGCACCCACCTGCACAGACAGACAGACAGACAGACAGACAGACAGAAGGCCACAGACATACAATACACACCTGTGCGTGTGTCACGTTCCCACCCACCTTGACATTTCTGGAGAACCCCAGCGCATAGCCTCCACGAACAAGCTCGTATAGAGCTTCGTCCTGACACACACACACACATGGATGGCTGGCTGGGCGCGTGTGTTATGTGTGTGTGCTGTGGCACCGACCCATCACGTACCGCCTCACTCACCATGATAGCGTATGCGCTGTGGAGCGCCTCCCGCATCTGCAGCGCCCCGTGGTGCTGCAGCTGGTTCTCGATGTAACTCGCCAAGTAACGCTGCACATAGTCAGCTGACACACACACACACACACACAGAGAGAGAGAGAGAGAGAGACAGAGAGGGAGAGAGACAAACAGAAAGGTCAAACGACGCTGTCTGCTTGTTTGGGCTGGTCAGGGTCCACACATTATATGCTGCTGACCGATTTGCCATCCGCCGTGTCCGTCCAGCACCGTGACGAGCAGACATTTCCGGCCGTGAGCCTTAACCTCACTTATCTGCAGATAGGGGTGGACAAGACAGACAGACAGTCTGCCGGCATTTGTGTGGTCTGTCTGTCTGCGCGGTGTGCGGGTGGGTGTTGGCTGACAGCGTGTCGGTCTTCGATCTTTTTGTTTGCGACGTATTGGCACGCCCCGATCTTCTGAGAGGCCGCTGAGGAAGGATCCAGATGAGCAGACACCTGCGCACACACACCACACACCAGGAGATATACAAGCTTTTACACGGATCACATCGCCAGCACGCTCTTGCCTGCACAGGGGGCGCTTCGTCGTTTCTGACAGAGTCCTTCGACAGCGGCCGAGCTGGCGGGGCTTCCGATGTCGGTTTGCCTTTGCCTTGCCTGCTGCTCTCATCAGCTGCTGCTGCTGCTGCTGCCGGCGATGGCGGAGGGGAGGGCTTCGGTTGCTGCGGCGGCTGCTGCTTCTCGCCCTCGGCTTTATCTTCTCTGCACACACACAGACACGGAAGCATGCAGGGTTCGTGTGTCGTTGCGTTGCGTACCGTTGTTGGTCGTCGGTCCTGTTGCCGGTGGTGATATCTCGGATGAAGTCCACATTGATGCCCTTGCGGTAGACCCCATCCGCCGACTGCTCCTCCTGACACACACACACCACAAACACACACACAAACACACACACAAACACACACACAAACACACCAGCAAGCAACAGCCAAGCCAACCACACAGTCAGTCACATGAACACAACCACACACTGATTGATGCCACGACGAACGGACGGCCGTACCTGGCAGAGCACACTGGTGCCCCTGAGCCGGTCTTGCCGCCACCTGTGCAGCTGCACAGTGAAGTACAGCGACGGCAGCAGCAGAAACGACGCACCCACAGGGTGATGGCTGGCGTGACAATCCCTCCGCCCATCGCCGGCAGACGATGCACACCGAACAGCATCGGCGGCAGGTGAGTGCTGCTCTGCTGCTGCTGCTGATGCCGAAGCAGGTGCCTTGACTGCTGATCTGCTCCTCCTTGATGCTGCAGGAAGCGCGGCCCGAGTGAATGCGGCGGATGGCGGCGAGAGCTGCAGCAGCGGGGCGCTCAGGCGCTGAATGTGCGCCAAGATCACGCGCAGGAACGTGAGATCCAGATCCATCCTTCTTCACTTTGTCAGCAAGCTCGCAGATATCGCGAGCCGGGAACTGTGTGAAGAGTCCCTCCACCAACCCCAGCATCTCTGCCTCTGTCCAGTCGCCGTGCCTCACTTCTTCTTCATTGTAGAAACAAAGAGGTGCGTTGATTGACTCACCCTGACTTGCACCCTGACGGACAGACAGACAGACAGACAGACAAACACCTTGAAATCTCTCTTGTGCAGTACAGCGTGTGGTTGTCTCTCTTTCTGCCGGCAGGAATAGCACATCAGCAGCAAGCAGCGTAGCAGCACACGTCATGGAATCTGACTCGAAGGCTGTGAGCAAGACCAAGCTGAACGCCTCCGACCAGGGCAGCTGCTCCAACAAACCCGGCAACTTGAAGAAGCCCTGCTGCGTATGCCTGGTATGCACACACACACACACACGCGCGCCTCAGCAAAGCAAGCACCGGCCGGCACACACCCTGTGTCTGTCTGGGTATGTGTCTGTGTATGTGTGTGTGTGTGTGTGCAGGAGACGAAGCGAGTGCGTGACGAGTGCATAGTGCTGAATGGCGAGGAGAGGTGCAAGGCCTTCATCGACGCGCACAACGCGTGCCTCAAGGCAGAGGGCTTCGAAATCAAGTGATGCGATGCATGGGTGCCTGCTGCCGTGCGTCTATGCGTGTGACGTGTGCAAAGATGGGGGGAGGGAGAGCTTTGTGCAGGCGATGGCTGGCTGGCTGGCTGGATGGATGGATGGGACGGGATGACACACATGGATGGATGGATGTCTGCCTGCCCACCTGCCTGCCTGTCTTGCTGCCTGTATGCCTTGTCTACCTGCACATGAACGAAAGCCCGTTTGTCCGCGTCTTTTTCGCAGCCCGCATTTCTTGAATACTGCCTACTTCTTCGCACTGCCTGTCTGTCTGTGGGTCCATCTCTGTCAGCGCCGCGCCCATCGGTTGATGCAGTAACCAGAGGGCAGAGCGGCAGGGAACTTTGCTCGTTGGAAAAAAGGGTGGGGGGCAGGTAGGCAGGCAGGTGTGTCGCTCATACACACATTGACTGATGGATCGATCCATACTTTTGGTCTGTGTCGGTAGCCGCCTTCCTCTTTTGCGTGATGGTCAACTCCCCAGTGGCAGACAAGACTGAGTTTTCTTGGCCGGCGTGGCTGTGTCTGCGCTTGCTCACTGGGTCGACAGTCTCCTTGGAGGCGGAGATCTTTCACACATTGCACTTATCGGCTGTCGATGTGTGATAGGGCTGCGTCGGCGACGAGACTCAGGCCCACTGGGCAAAGGGCAGGCCGGCGGTGGAACATGAATCATGTGCATGACTAACGAGATTTAGACGTATAAAGCGGTCGACGTCTGAATCAGTCCCATCCATCCATCCATCCAACATTCATAGAATTTTCCCTTCATTCATTAAAGCGCGCGACCACCCTGTACAGCTACACTCTTGCCCTATACACATGCCCCCCCCCCATACACAGACGCCTTAAATCCCCCATCCCTCTCCTCACAGCGGCTCGTCGTCACTCGGCCCCTGCTTTGCCGGCAGCTGGTACTGCCTCTCGACACCATCCACATCGTTCATCACGTCAGGCAGGGGCGCAAAGATGTCATCCAGCGGTGCTGCTGGCGGTTGCGTGTGTCCGGCCGGCCCCCCAGCACCAGCACCTCCAGCCAGTGCGACCGTCGGCTGCTGCGTCATGCGCTTCTTGGTCACCTCGTCGAGCTTGGGCGGCTTGAACCGATGTGGCGCCACCACCTCGCCAGGAAAGAGCTCCCGGAGCGGATCCTCTCTGCTGCCCGTGCCGTCAGGCGCAGACACCCGCCCGTAGTGGTCGTGATGAATGTCCATCAGCGGCTGGTCTTGTGCTGCTGTGCTGTCGTCCTTGCCGTCATTATCACTGTCCCGCACTGGGTCGGTCATCTGGAGGTCCGCGCCTGGCACAGGGACCACGGGGATGGCCTTGCCGAGGACCTCCTGGTCCTCGTCGGTCATCTCGCTGCGGACGAACCGCTCCAGCTCCTCACTGAGGGCGTCAGACGGCGACATAATGGGGTGGTCGGTGTCTTCACGGTACTCGCGCACCGGCAGCCAGAACTCCAGGAAGCTCGTGCTGATCAGATAAGCCTTCTCGGCTTTCTGCATGCAGGCACAGCACACATGACATGACAGCACACACAGGGCAAGCACAGCGCATGTGTGTGGTGTGGGTGAGAGTCACGTCAGCGTACAAGGCGTACCTGATCTTCCTCCTGCAGGTCATTGGTCCAGTCTCTGGCCGACTGGTGCACGAAGCCGTGTGTCGTGTTGTCAAATATCTGCACCATGAAGTCAAACAGGTCCTCATTGGCTCTGAAGGCCTCGTACAGCCGCTCAGCATCTGCCTTTCTCGCCCCAGGCAGCGTGTCGTTGGCCGCATACACACAGCAGGTCGGCACACGCATCTGCCGCCCGATGGCCTCGACGTCATAGCGAGTGGGGTAGAAGGCCACCACACACCGCACCGACTTGTCCACCCGGTTCCTGCACACCGCCGCCCCCTCGGCCTCCTCCATGCCGCCATACCTCACCCCCGTCTCGAGCGCCCGACCCCCACCGTAGCAGAACCCCACTACCGCTATGACGTCCATCTTGTAGCTCTCCTTCAGGAAACGAAGACTCGCCCCAATGGTATCGTCAACACGATCAGGGTCGTGCTGACTCCGCCAGGCTTCATACTCGGCTGGGGGCCGGTCGGCGGACCAGGGCTGGCCAAGGAAGAGGTCGGGGACGAAGACGGGCAGGGAGAGGGTGTCGGCCAGCCGGTCGGCCACGCGGCGCATGAAGCGGTCTCGGTAGCCGAAGACGTCGGTGAGCATCAGGACGGCCCTTCGCGGGTCCCGCATACCGAGGTTGGCGACTCTTGCCTCGAGCGTCTCCCTCTCCCGCACTGGCCGCACCATGTACATCGGCACCTTCTGGCCCTCCCGTGCTGATAGAGTGGATGATGCCGTGGGTGACGCTTCGTCTGTCGACTCGCTGTCGAGGCTGACAGACACGCCACCCTTGACATGGCTCTTCAGTCGCTTCCTCTCCCGCGCTGCCGTGACTTCTGGCGGCTCAGAGGGCACGGGCGCCTCCTCCCCCTCTGGTGCGTCAGGAACGATAGCGTCAAAGTACTGCCGCCTCATGTTGTCCTGGATCTTGAACATCGGGCGCTTGCCGGTTCGAGTGGATGGGTCCGGTTGTGGCGGCGTGCCATCGCCGTCTTCATCCCAGTCATAGTCAGAGTAGTAGCTGCCGACCGTCTGGTACTTCTCCTTTGACCAGTAGTCGAAGTACTGCTTAGTGAGATTGACGTCGGGCGGCGGCCGGAAGCGGAACCTCTTGATCTCCTTGATGCGCTTCCTCCTCTCGTACTCCTGCTTGAGCCGGCCGCTCTCCACCTCGTCGATCATGTCATCCACAATGGCCTCGATGCGCTCGCCCCTCTCCTCTGGATCAGGGAGGTCTCGCTTCGCTATCTCGGTGGCCAGCTGGTCGTCGTCGAGCCGCTGAACCACCTCTGACAGGTACAGCTTCTCGCGATAGCGCTCCATCTGGGTCGCATTCAGCAGGGGGAGCGTGTCGGGAGGATTCAAGATAGATGGAATGCCGTCATCAGCCGACTTCGCGCGGAAGTGTCGGTGCAGCCGGCGATAGATGCGGTTCGGCGTGATTGCTGGACGGAGATGGATAAAGCTCGGCGGCTGATGAGGTGGCGGATGTCTTCTCAGCCGGGTGCTGCCTTCGCAGAGCCACGCAGGAAAGGCGAGGCCGACGAGTTGAAAGATCTTCACGAGAACCCATCTCATTTTCAGACGACAAGATCACGAGTAGCGAGTCAGTAAAAAGGACCTTGCGCATCTGCTTCCATGTTCCTTCATGAACATCCCCCCGCCGCTGGATACCTGGGAATTCGGCTCCACAGTGGGGATTTCTGCGAGCTTGATGCGACACACAGCTCTGACCACCTCTCGTGCCCCCCCCAGAGTGCGACAAAACGGCTCCCGGGAAAAAGAAGAAAAGCGGCGAACAATGATGTGAGCTCGGACAGAATCGCAAAAGACCTGGAGCCGTTTTGTCGCACTCTAGGTGACTGGAGGTGGTGAGAGCTGTGTGTCGCATCAAGCTCGCAAAGTTTTTCCACTCGTGGAGCCTAATTCCCTATTCAGCGGCGCCGGGGTGTTATGAAGAACAAATCTGGACGTTCATGAAGCGGATGCGCAAGGACAACTGCTTGCAACGAGCAGAGAAGGGCATCTGACGCATGAGGCGGCGATTTATCGTGGGAGGATATTGAGGAACAACGTGGGCAATCAACTCAACACACACACAGTGAACACCTCACGCAATGCGCTAATTGATTCTCTGTGGGCTGTGCTGTTCGCTCTTCTCCACGCAGGCTGGGCAATCAGCGTCGAAATGCCATGCGTAGTGCGCAGGTTGAGGTCCACAAGATCGTGCTCGGCCCTCCTCACGACGCGGAAGAATGATTTCCACCGTGTGCCGGGGACGCGTGCCGGGGACGGACGATGGCCATGGAGCGTTCGAGTGCTTCTCGTCCTTCGGCACCTTCTCTGCTGAGTGAGGTCTTTGTGCAGGGTCTGATTCGTTATTCAAGTATTGGGTATGTGGGTTGCAGACGCTGCAGTGGTCGCCACTCATCGATTGGCGGTCCAAGAGGTTCGTCCTGACGCCGTCAGAAGACACACGCACACGCACTCAGGCAGCCGAGAGGGCGGCCCGTTTTACTGGCTGACTGACCAAGTCTGAGTCGTTTGTGTGGTTTGTCGGCACATGAGTTGTGTCTTACATGAGTCCTCGCTTACGTCTTTTCCATTTGCGTGTGTGCATGGGGTGGATGGATGGATGGATGGATCACTGTTCGCCTGCCTGCCTGCACTGTTTTCTTTCATGTGTGTGCGGCCATGGGTGTACACCCACAGATGCATGATACACACTCGTTGTTTGAGATGCATGTGTCTTAAGACATGTGAGTGTCCGCCTGGACTGCACACACGACTGAGTGACTTCCCTGTCGTGAATGTGACAGATGCGAAATTCAACTGTCCACAACCACAGCCCCACGCACAGGCAGCCAGCCACGAGGACGGGAGGATATCTATTCACACAGACATACGGACAGAAGGAGGGAGGGACGGAGATAGGCAGGGCTACACGGGGAAAAAGACCAAGGCATGGATCAACTGAACTAATGTGTGTATCAGAGATGATGACAGGCAGCATCCAAGAGATACATGACAGAGAACATGAATCGCTGCTCACCCACCAGTTTTGATGGATCGGTCAGTCGCCGCCCTCCTCCTCAGCTGCCACATCCTTTACAGAGGAGTGCGACAAAACGGCCCAACACCATAGCAAGGTAGGTAGGTAGGTAGGTTTGGTCGTGCCCTGTGTGGAAGGTGTGTTTGCCTGAATCAGTTGAGTGCTGAGGCGGATGAGCTGCAGAGGGCCATCGACGCCATGACCAAAACCATCAAACAAAACCAACAGGTACACTCCACCCACACACACGCCGCGCACCATTTGCGTTCACCCCTCTCCCCCTCTCTCTCTGTGTGTGTAGGCCAAGGACCGGTCTCACTGTCGGTATGAGCGTCACGTGGATGAGCTGCAGCGGCTGCAGAAGCAGCACGAGGAGGAGATAAACAACATCAACAAGGAGACACAGGTCGGTGGGTGGGTGGGCCACACAGACACGTGGATATATGGACAATTGGACGTTCTTCTTGTATCTATGCGTGTGTGTGTGTGCAGGCGACGATAGCCAAGGTTGAGAAGGAGCAGGCGGACGAGGAACGCAGTCTGAGCCAAATCGAGGAAGAAAAACAGGCACGCCCTGACACGAACCCACACGCACATCCATCCATTCTCTCACATGTATCTCTCTTCCTTCCTTGCTTGCTCTGTCTGGCAGCTGTTGCGTGACCAGATCACCGCTCAGCGTGAGGAGTGGCAGCAGAGGGCCAAGACGGCATGTGACATCATCAAAGAGGTAGCTAAACACATGGCCAAGAATCTGTCTGTCTGTCTGTCTATGTGTGTCTCCATGGGCAGAGTGTGCGCATGGTCGATGCTGCCCAGCCGCCCGTCGTCAAGGCACTCAACGAGTAAGAACCACACAACACACGCCAAGATCATTTCTTTCTTGTATGTGCCGTCCGTGTCTCTGCGTCACATCAGTGGCTTCCAAGGCTTCCAAGCCCTGGTAGACGTCAAGAAGCACCTCTCACAGCAGGAGGCCGCTATGCCGCTGCGCATGCCGACCTTTCCCAGTGGTGGAGAGGCCACAGTGATGGCTGCATGGACGCACATTAGATGACCGACTGGGTGGGTGGATATGAGCGGGTGGGATGCGTTCATGTGCCCTCGTGTGGAGACATTTAGACAGACACTGCTTTACATTGATGCAAGCAGTCTTCGATATGCATCGTCGAGTCTCACATTCAGCTGACTGAATGGTGTTGCATTGTCACGTCATGTATACAGAGGCTCCCATCCAGACGATTGCACTCACGAGACCTGACCAACAACAGCACAAGGGGACAATTATGAGGACTATTTGTCACTAGCCCATCGATACCTCGCCGCCGGCTGCTTCTGCTGGCACTGCCTCAGGGTCTTCAAGTCTGCACATCAGACCCATATTATAGGATACCGACTTCAATCATCTAATCATCTGAATCTCGTACGCGAAGGAGATTGGAAATTTCATCGAAGGAGTGCAATGTGCTCGGCGAACAAAGCTGCCTCTCCATCCTGTAGCTCTTTTCTGATTTCCTCGCGTCGCTCTCATTCCTGTTGCACACGCACACGGGCATCAGATCCATATTCTTTTCATGTTGACTTCAATCATCTAAGTCTTCTCGTACGGATTCTCGAAGCCAAGCGTTCTCCTTGCGATCCAATGCCTTGGATCGCATTAAGAGTGCTTGGAAGCGAAAATAATGGGGGCTCGGCAAGTGGCCGTAGTGAGGCCGAGCCCCATTGGCTTTGAGGAAAGCGACGACATCCTTCAGCTCCGGCTGTATTGCCTGCGAGAAGATCGCACTCAGCCAGGCCAGTTGTGTGAATCTCGATGGCATCCGTCTCTTCTGCTCATTCCCCCGCTCACCACTTCGTCTAAAGGCGCCACATATAGGCCGCCGGCCAGCCGGCGTGTGCCAAGATTGGGGTCTGCTCCGGCTTCCAACAGCAGCTCCACAGTGCTGAAAATCCTATCGCGCGCGTCAGCATCCCACACCAAGAGGCGGTCGCTGTCGTCAGTCGCTGTCTCGGCCATCACTGCGCGATAAAGCGGCTCGCCGAATGCCATGTTTGGATCTGCGCCACCGTCGAGAAGCGTCTTCACAGCCACCAGAGCATCAGCTGTCCCTTCTTGATAGCCGCGGACACCGAAGAAATCGTAAAATCGCTGCCTCATGCTTTTCCACCCGGTGTCTCCCTTTCGAATTTGATCGATGCGATCGATGAGCTCGCCGCGCTGGAGTCCCGTGATCTCTGTAATCAGCTGACAACCGACGACTGCCACCGTCAGAATGATGTTGGCAATGGAAAGCAGCTGCAGCTGGTAAGTGGGATAGCAGAGGAACAGGACATTGCATATCAGGCCGACAAGTTTTTCACAAAGTATGTTGAAGAGACTTATCCTTATCAAACAAAGATGGCTTCTGGCATGAAGTTTGGCCCGCTCAAGCTCCATGAGAACGGATGCCATTGGACAAAGGATGAGGGTCTCTGTCGCGGGGCAGAGAAAGTAAAGGCGCCAAAGCCATGTCGGGAACCTCTCGCTGAAGACCGCAATCGTAAAGAAGGTGATCCAGCTGCTGGTTGTGTAAACAAGCTCTGCAATTAGCACATGCAAAAGCCCCTTTCGGCTGTAGTCGGGGGGGAGAGATATCCGAAGAAACTCCCTCCACTCTGCTGATGGGAAGCGGCACCGTCCTGCCGTTAAGCAGCACTTCAAGCAACCCAAGCACGAAACGAAGATAACGAAAAGAAATACCATAACAAGAAAAGGAAGCATCGGCAGGACGGAAAACCACCACAAGAAACCCCCAATCCAGCTCCACCCCGAATAAGCACAAAGAGCACCGATCACCCCCAAGACCGCAAGGGGCCCAATGACCGCAAAGAGCCCAGCGGCAGCTCCCAGATCCTTTGGTCTGTGCATGGCTAGCTGTCGCTTGCCCGCTTCCGAGGCTTCGAAGTCCATTGGTTTGAACGGTGAGGCGATAGCATTCAGCAGATTCAAGGAGAGATTGCTGATGAGTATTCCAGTCGCATGGCTTCGAGGGTCGCTGATGGCGCAAAGAATCATCACGATGTTGATGAAGTCGATGCTGTCATTGAGGACAGAGGTGCCGCCCAACACCGCGATCATCCCGTTGAGCCATCGAGGAGGGTCGGGCCGGTGGAAGTGAGCGATGATGGGTACCGTGGGAGACGGTCCTCGCGGGGTCGCTGCCTGAGAGTCCACGCCCGAGTCGATGAGATGGGAGTATTCGCCCAACTCGATGTCGGCCGAGGTTCCCTTTTTGCGCTGCACCTGAGCAACCGCAGGGCACAAGTCGTCAGCAAACTGCTCACCTGAAGACGTATCCACTGCGTACCAGTGTGGCATTCATTTGGACGTATTCCAGGCACCATTTGAGGACGAGCAGAGCCGTAGAGACAGAGGCAGATGCGAGAAGGAGCCGCTTGCACAGGAGGGGAACGGTGTATTGGGACGGCTCGTCGATGATCATCTCCCAGAAGGAGAACCAGTCGGTCACTGCACATACACAATGGGGGCAGAGAGAGAGATACGCATCATATGGTGCGAGATTTTAGAGGCCTGCTGTTGCTTACGTGCCGCGAAGGCCCCCAGGAGGATGAGCATGACGTTGTCTTGGAGGAACATTTGCAATGATAGTCGTCTGGGACCTTGTTGGCTGGATAAAACCGGCGATACGAAAACTTGTCCATCAGCTGCTTCTGCGCGCACTGCGCGAGTGAGGGTCTTCAAGTCGGCTTCCAAAGCTTTGTCTCGACGCTCTAGCTCTTTCTTGATTTCCTCGCGGCGACGACTTTCTGCACTCGTTGCGGATGCCTCTGTTCTCTGCAGAAAAATGTAGGCATCAGAGCAATATTTATCATATTGTGACTTCAATAGCTCACATCTTTTACCCAAGCGTTCATGTCGCGAATCTGTGCTTTGCATCGGGTGAAAAGGGCGGCGTAGCGTGCATGATTGGTGTGACCGCCGTAGTTATAGTAGTCGTCCGAATGCTGAGCCCCATTGGCTTTGAGGAGGACGGCGACATCCTTCAGCTCCGGCAGTATCACCTGCACAAACATGGCACTCAGTCAGGCCGTGTGTATGGGAATCCCGATGGCATCCATCTCTTTCTCTTTATCCCCCCGCTCACCACTTCGTCTAACGGCGCCACGATCAGGCCGCCGGCCAGCTGACGTGTGCCAAGATTGGGGTCTGCTCCGGCTTCCAACAGCAGCTCCACAGTGTTGAAAATCCTATCGCGTGCTTCAGCATCCCACACCAAGAGCATGTCGCCGCTGCTCGCTGTCTCGGCCATCACTGCGCGATAGAGCGGCTCTCCATCCGCCATGTTGGGATCTGCTCCACTGTCAAGAAGCTTTTTCATGGCCACCAATGCGGCCATTAACGGAGCGTCTCCCTTTCGAACTCGATCGATGCTGTCGATGAGCTCGGCGTGTTGGAGGCCTATGTGTCTTCGGATAACCTGACAACCGACAACTGCCACCGTCAAAATGATGTTGGCAATGGGGAGCAGCTGCAGCTGGTAAGTGGGATAGCAGAGGAAGAGGCCATTGCATATCAGGCCAAAAAAAAGCTTTCACTGGTGTAGAGACGTCCTTTGGTCGAACGGCGATGAGTTCTGGCGTCAATTTTCTCCTCGAGTTTTGCGATTAGAGAAGGATAAAGGATGAGGCTTTCTGTAGCGGGGCAGAGAAAGTAGAGGTGCCAAAGCCATGTTGGGACTCTCTCGCTGAAGACAGCAGTGGTAAAGAAGGCAATCCAGGTGCTGATTGGGTAGACAAGCTCCGCGATCAGCACATGCAAAAGCCCCAATCGGCTGTAGTCGGAGAGAAGAATATCTGAAAGAAGCTCCTTTGGGATCAAGCAATGCGTCACGATGCCAACAAAGAGTTCCGCCATTAGCATCATCAGCATCGTAGCCAAGGCAAGCCACCAAAAAAAAGGCCCAGTCTAACTTATCCAACCGTGGCACGAATCAGCAAGAAGGGCCCTGATTACCTCAGATCGAGCGCAAAGCACGCCGATCACCCCACAGAGGCAAATTAAGTCCCCCATATGAGGCAGAAATCGAAGAAAATCGAACAGCAATCGAACAGCCCCTTGTTCTCTCTCGGGCCTCCGGATACCATTCGCGCCAGCTGGTGCATGCGCTCTCGCGAGGCTTCAAAGCCCATTCCCTTGTAGGCTGAGGCGATAGCATTCAGCAGATTCAAGGAGAGATTGCTGATGAGTATTCCAGTCGCATGGCTTCGAGGGTTGCCGATGGCGCAAAGAATGATAACGACGTTGGTGAAGTCGATGCTGTCGTTGAGGACAGAGATGCCGCTCAGCACCGTGATCACCCTGACGAGCCACCGAGGAGGGTCGGGCCGGTGGAAGCGAGCGATGGTGGGTGCCGGGGGAGACGGCCCTCGCGGGGTCGCTGCCTGAGAGTCCACGGCCGGGTCGATGAGACGGGAGTATTCGCCTAATTCGATGTCGGCCGAGGTTCCCTTTTTGCGCTGCACCTGAGCGACCGCAAGGCACCAAAGACGTCAGCAAATTGCTTACACGAAGACGTCTCCCCTACGTACCAGTGTGGCATTCATTTGGACGTACTCCAGGCACCATTTGAGGACGAGCAGAGCCGTAGAGACAGAGGCAGATGCGAGAAGGAGCCGCTTGCACAGGAGGGGAATGGTGTATTGGGACGGCTCGTCGATAATCATCTCCCAGAAGGAGAACCAGTCGGTCACTGCAGATGTGCAATGGGGAAGAGAGAAACCTCATGATGGCGTGAGAGATAGTAAGAGGTCTGCTGTTGCTTACGTGCCGCGAAGGCCCCCAGGAGGATGAGCATGACGTTCTCTTGCAGGAAGACCTGCAGAGATAGTCGTCTGGGCCCTTGGCTGGATGAAATTGACGATGCGAAGACACGTCCATCGGCTGTTTCTGCACGCACTGCCTCAGCGAGGGTCTTCAAGTCGGCTTCGAGTGCTTTCTCTTCATCCCCTAGCTCTTTTTCGATTTCCTCGCGTCGCTCTGGTTCTTCCTTCCACTGCAAAAAAAAACATAGGCATCATACCCACTTGAGTGATCTACATTTCAATCATCTAAGTCTTCTTGTACGGATTCTCGTCGCCAAACATTCTTCTTGCGAATCAGTGCCTTGAATCGGATCAAAAGGGCAGCGTAGCGTGCCTGATTGATGTGCCCGCCGTATTTATAGTAGTGGTCCGAATGCTGAGCCCCATTGGCTTTGAGGAGGGCGGCGACGTCCTTCAGCTCCGACTGTATTACCTGCACACACATGGCACTCAGTCAGGCCGTGTGTGAATCTATATGGCATTCATCTCTTTATGCTTATCCCCCCACTCACCACTTCGTCCAAAGGCGCCACGACTAGGCCGCCAAACAGCTGCCGTCTGCCAAGATTGGGGTCTGCTCCGGCTTCCAACAGCAGCTCCACAGTGTTGAATATTCAAGTAGAAGCTGCATCTTCAGCATCCCGCACCAAGGGGATGTCGGTCTCTGTCTCGGCCATCACTGCGTGATGGAGTGGCTCTCCATTTGCCATATTTGGATCTGCGCCACCGTCGAGAAGCATCTTTACAGCCATTACCGCAGCGTCTCCGTGTCGGGCTTGATCGATCCAGTAGACGAGCCCGGCGTGTCGGAGGCCTATGTCTCTTCTAGTACGCTCACAACTGACGACTGCCACCGTCAGAATGATGTTGGCAATGAGGAGCAGCTGCAGCTGGTAAGTGGGATAACAGAGGAAGAGGACATTGCATATAAGGGAGAGAAGGGCTTCGTGGAGTGTTTGAAAAAGACGTTCTTTGGTCGAATGGCGATGGGCTCTGGCGTCAATTTTCTGCTCGAGTGTTGCGATTAGAGAAGGGTAAAGGATGAGGGTTTCTGTGGCGGGGATGAGAAAGTAGAGGCGCCAAAGCCATGTCGGAACTCTCTCGTTGAACACCGCAATTGTGAAGAAGGTAATCCACGTGCTGGTTGTACAGACAAGCTCCGCGATCAGCACATGCAAAAGACCCAATCGGCTGTAGTCGAAGAGAAGAAGCTCTTCTCGCAAGCGCTCTGTCGGGGTGGCGAAGCGGGGCAAGCTAGCCTTGCAGGATCGGAGGATGCTACGAAGAAATGGCTCCATAACAAAAATCAGAATCAGCAGGATGGAAGGCCACCATAGGTAATCCCCAATCCAGCTCCACCCCCAGTATGCACAAAGAGAGCCGATCACCCCCAAGGCGCAAAACACAGTGAGCCAACACCCTGCCGGGATCCAATCGCCTCTCTGGGGTCTTCGCGCTATTATTTCCGCCATTTGTTTCATGCGCTCTCGGGAGGCTTCGAATCCCATTGCCTTGTAGGCTGAGGCGATAGCGTTCAGCAGATTCAAGGAGAGATTGCTGATGAGTATCCCCATCGCATGGCTTCGGGGGTTGCCGATGGCGCAAAGAATGATCACGATGTTGATGAAGTCGATGCTGTCGTTGAGGACGGAGATGCCGCTCAGCACCGTGATCATCCTGACGAGCCACCGAGGAGGGTCGGGCCGGTAGAAGCAAGCGATGATGGGTGCCGTGGGAGACGGCCCTCGCGGGGTCGCTGCCTGCGAGTCCACGCCCGAGTCGATGAGATGGGAGTATTCGCCTAACTCCATGTCGCCCAAGGGTGGCTTTTTGCGCTGCACCTGAGCGGCCGCAAGGCACCAAAGTCGCCAGCAAACTGCTCACACAAAGGCTTCTCCTGCGTACCAGTGTGGCATTCATTTGGGCGTACTCCAGGCACCATTTGAGGACGAGCAGAGCCGTAGAGACAGAGGCAGAGGCGAGAAGGAGCCGCTTGCACAGGAGGGGGATTGTGTACTGGGACGGCTCGTCGATAATCATCTCCCAGAAGGAGAACCAGTCGGTCACTGCACATATGCAATGGGGGCAGAGAGAGAGGCACACATCATATGGTGCGAGATTTTAGAGGCCTGCTGTTGCTTACGAGCCGCGAAGGAGCCCAGGAGGATGAGCATGATGTTCTCTGCGAGGAACATTTGCCATGAGACCCTTCTGGGACCTTGGCTGGATGAAGCCTGTGAGGTGGAAGGCTGTCCGCCGGCCATCATGACGGTGATTCTCTTCTCTACAGCCGGCTAATGCCTTCCCTGGATGCCTTCTGGGGAACCCCGACGGTGGGAGCTCACAGCTTACGAGGAAGCCGGCGAGCTTAGGGAGGGCGAGCTTAGGGAGGAGCTCGCGAAGCCAAGGATTTCAGACTTCCGCGAAACCGCTCTCTCAAGGGATTCAATCAACGGCAATGATGTATTCACAGGCAGTGTGTGTGGTCTCGTCAGTGCAGACAGACACGGACGGACGGCACAAGTATGTCAATCAGAGACGACCATAAACACAGGTACTAGCACAGGTACACACATACGCAGAAACGCCTCCCTGTGTGTGGAACACCGGGAGGTACACGTGAGGCAGCTGCTGGCTGTACATCCATCCATCTACACTTTCGTCACACCGACCCATAGATGAGCCCCTCTACGCGTCTCGGCTCTGGCTGAGGAGCCTGATATACACACACACAAGCGACCGAGACACATGGAAGTCTGCACGGCAACGGAATGTTGCTTGTCGTGTCTGCCCACGTACGTGTGATGAGGTGACGACCTGGTAGGATGTGCCCGTCATCTCGTCCTCGTCTGCACGACAGATGGACACAAAGCCATCATAACAGACACGCGTCGTGGCATTGGCATGGTGGGCGCCGGTCGGCCGACCAGGGTCTGGGAAGCTGAAGTTGCTCATTGAGGCGCCCCTGTCTGCAGCAATGAGGACAGCAGACATCCACACATCCAATGTTGAATGTACGTGTGTGCGTACCGTTTCTCTTGTGCGTGTGTCGCGAGAGGGACGGAAGGCCTGACACAATCACCATACACACACACATGCATCCGTGCGGTTGCACGGGTGTTTGCTGGGTGAGAGGGTACCCGTGTTGCCCTCTCCTACAGGCCGATATCTGTTGTTGGCATTGTACACCCAATCAGCCTGTCGATGGATAAATGGATGGAGGCACACACACCCATGTGTGTGGACGTGTTTATGTACATGTGTGTGTGTGCGTACAATCTGCACAAAGAACATCCTGACTTGGCCGACCGACGGCAAATACGGCGGGCCGCCTGACACAAGCGGGCAGATATAATACGTGCAGTTGTGGCCCTCCCTTTGGTGTATGCGTACCTCCTTTGGTGAAGTTCTGGTACAAAAGATACATGTATAGCACAAAGAACTGCACACACACACACGCGTCAACACAGGCCTGCCAGCAGTCCGTCTGTGCGTGTGTCTGTCTGTGTGGATGGATGAATGGCTCATCCCCACCGACCAGGATGGCTGTCCAGAAGATGGATTTGTATGCGATCCGGACAAACAGCCACAAGGGATGGGACAACAGATGCAGCAGATTAGACCTGCACACACACACACAAACACACACACAAAAACCACATCCATATGTGTACCATCCGGTGCGTCTGTGGCGGTGTCAGTCAATGAGCGTACACCGAGATGAGGGTGAGCGGCGACCCGGTGCAGTGTTTGCGGACGAGGAACTGGACGTCCTTGTAGAAGGGAATGTCGAGCGACACCAGCACCACCGACCACCCCACACGTGAGTGCAATGGACAGACAGACATGCAGACTGACAGACAGACAGCCAACCAGCACGGCGCATACATCCAGGCCAATCAACACACTATCTCCACACGGCCATCCCCAGGGGGGCACCCTCAGAAAATCAGAGGCTCCCCAGGCACGAACACCCCAGCCCCATGGAGCCAACGCCCCCTCTGATACAGCCAGTGCGAGCGGCCCTTCCTCCTGGGCCGCCGCAGACACGCAGACACCGAACGAGCCAGGCAGACTGACAGCCGCGTCCGGATCAGGTCTGTGACTTGGCGCTGCGAGTCTGCAGAGATCGATCGGGTGACTGACCAGCCACCCACCCACCCACCCACCCACCCACACACACACAAACAGACAGACAGACAGACAGACAAGGAGAGAGGAACGGTGCTGTGTGCATGGATGTGTGTGCGTGTGACGGCACACCTGATGGCCGTAGAGATCTCAGGCAAGCCACACCAGCGACGCGCAGAGGGCCTGACACACAGCCACAGACGGTCGTCGCTACCTGGCTTTGCGGTTTCCCGCCATCGGGCAAGCGAGTGGGGCCGTTTACCATAAGCCTTCTTAACTTAGAGTGCGCAGACACATGAGGGTGTTGTTATAGAGCGGGCGGCCACTTGACGGTGTTCTTATCTCCAGGAAGTTACGACCGAAGTCGCCTGTAGCTTATGTAATGGTAGGAGAGCAGGGAGGGGCAAGAGTGGTTCTTACCTGCAGCAGACACGCACGGGCAAAGCACCACACACACGGGATGGATGAAGGCCTGCCTGCCATTGTCTTTTGTTAACACGTATGGTGGTCGTTCGGTCGAAGTGCGGTATCGTGGGGATTGCCTTGTGATGGTCAGGTGGGTGTGCTGACGGGATGAAATAATTTGACATAGCAGCCGGCTCGTCAAGGTCAGCAGCATCATGGGCCACGTGTGCCAGAACAGCACTGTCAGCAAGATGGGGACCGCTCGGGTGTCCTGAGAGCGGTGGGGCCGTCGACCACGTGTGGGAGGTTGAGTCGGCAGCATGGCCCTTCCCTAGTCTGACGTGTTGGTGGTCGTGTAGCCACTGTCCGCCCTGGCCGTGTGCCCCTTCACCGTCATAACCGCTGTAGCTTCTCTCCTTAGCTTCTCTCCTTACAAAAAGATGGAGATTCGGCCGGCCGTCTCCCTACTTGCGGAGGCTGAAGTTGTGTTTCGGTCCCTATCGGCTGTCACGAACGGCGAGCGAATGAGAGGGAAAAAAGGTAGCGGCAAGGGGAGACACTTTGCTGCAGGGGAATGGCTGAAAGGGGGACGCTGGCCTCGCTGCTTTTTTACAACGTCCTCCGCTTGCGAGCCAGGAGAAGAAGGCAAAGCACCGCCATCTTAGATAGAGACAGCTGGGCCTTCTATGCGTCAACTCCCGGTGGCCACGATATGTGAGACCGAGGGGATTGCCTTGTGATGCTCAGATCTCCAGCGCTGTGGACGGGATGAAACAATTCGACGTAACGGCCGTGTCGTCAGAAGGGCAGCAGCAACAGGGGCCACATGTGTCGGAACCACACTGTCAGCGATCTGGGCTGTTCGGGTGTCCTGGGGTGGCGGTCCTGTCGGGGGCCCGCCGAGACACTCTTCTCATGTGTGCTGTTGTGTGTCGGCGGCATGCCGCTGCTTTTCTCGGGCGTGTTGGTGTTGGTGTAGTCACTGTCCGCCCTAGCCGTGGGCCGCTGCATCGTCATAGCACCGCTGTCGACAGCTTTTCGTCACAAGAGAGATGGGGATTGGGCCGGCCGCTTCCCTTTTCCACGGGCTGAGGGCGTGCTTATCGACTGGCACGAGCAGAGAGAGAGTAAGAGGGAAATCAAAAGGGTGGCGGGAAGGGGAGACACTCTGTTGCAGGGGGCCAAGGGGGGGGG